CTGCCTCAATGTCAGGTGCTTTAATGCCATCAGCCTTTGAACATTTCCTCGATATCATTTGCCTTGATTTCACCTGCACGTAAAAGCTGCCAGCAAAAACGCTAAAGCCCTTCTGTTTGTATCTCACCCAATTCTAGACTGCTTGGATCTACTTAGATTTGCTAGGCAAGGGTAGGGGCTAACCAATCCTCTTGTATTTGACCCAACTCCATTAAGCAAGAAGTATATATATAATCGGAGCAAGAGGAAACGCCTATTGAGAGTACAAAGATCTTGTTGGGGAGAGAGGAAGAGTGCACCAATTGTATCAGCATGGAAAAAGCTGATTAAGAAGAAGAGGAGCTAACGAAGAAACGTGTAAACGTCAAACTAGTCAAGTCAAGAAGGGAAGAGCTGCTGTTTAAGTAGGGCAGTAACAATTTAAAGAGCTCTAGGCTCTAGGCTCTAATGATCTCTAGTTAGGTATCAAGAAGTTAACTTAAAGAGTATGTTGCCAATGCGTGGCCCAATCTTCTTCTTGCACCTTGTCTAGTTCCATCTGATCGCTTTGCTCTATCTACTTCTCCCTTCTCCGCATTCCTAAGAATGATGGTATCAATAACATAGGATCGGACAGAAACAAGCAAGACGGAAAGCTCTTAAGAATAAGAACAGCTTGTGCCGACTCGAAGAAATACCGGAAGAGCTAAACGAGAGACGGTGCAAAGCAAGTGAACTTTAGAAGCGTAGAAAAACTGAGAAGGCAAACAAGCACTGCCACAGTCTCTCTGGCAATTTTCGGAACGACTTGCTTGATACAATGATTATATACACATTCATACAAGTTGCTTTATGACAATTGCTAATATTGACAAAGAGATCTAGATAATCGACCTCACAAACCGGACAGATTGACACGCATCCGCCATTTAGTTGAAGGTTTTCGATACCAGCTATATAGATCCATTCATCCAGTCTCGGTCTTTTTCCTTGGCCCCAAGAATCTTGATTTTCATTATTCCATCCCCCTTGACTATTTGGGATTGCATCCATTACAGATGACTCGATGACTGTGATGCCTTGCCCCAAACGACAAAAGGGCTCCGAACGGAGCTCCATTGCCCTGGACCGATTGGGCGTCCAGATGCCATTAAAACATCCATTTGGAACTGGATGATCGTGTGGAACCATATATAATATATATATATATAATATGGGGATCCAAGGATTGGTGAAGGGCGTCCAAGGATTGGTGTGCGGGATCTGAGCATATCAGAAGTCCCATGATTTCCTAAAGACCCACATCATGGGACGGCAGAAATCGGTGAACCGACCTAGCGGGTCTGCCGAAACCATGCGGTCAACCGACAGTCCCAGAAACCGACAGTGAACACCTTTGAGCTATTAGGTTGGAGGCCACTGCTATTTGGTTGGGCCACCGCTATTTGGTTGGAGGCCACCGCCATTTGGTTGGAGGCCATCGCTATTCGGTTCATGAATCTTCCTTCACTTTTACCATCCGCAGGCGACGAGCGAGATGATGCAGAAGGTGGATGAAGGTGCAAGCACTTGCACCGATGGACACGGTGTGGCACGGTGTGGTGTTCCTGTTGTTTGGGGTGATCACCATGATCATGCATGTTTATGAGTGTCATTCCAACGTTGCCTTTTGCTCATCACAGGAAGCCAATACTGCCCAGACCTTCAAGACATGTGTGACCATGTGTGACCTGAAGACGTCCACAGCAGACGAAAGCCTCAGCGGTTCTTTCCGTATGACGGACATGTGCGAGAATTGACGGACATGTGCCACTATGTGCCACTCAAACTAGCACTCTTTATGTTCAGTTTTGTTTATGAGTAGTACAAAGCATCATTTCGTCTTTCCAAGCAGAGACTTCTTGCTCTTCATGACACGATTACAGTAGACTCAGTAGATGCACGATGATACTTCTGATTCCGGACAATCTGATCAGGGAAGCCTGATCACTCATCACAAGACTCTCGTTGTTGCTGTGTTCTCAGGAATCGTCCATCCACCCTTCGTCGGAACTCAGGACCCCTTCAAGAAGCAGAGACTTCCGACTTCTTCAGAAAGCACCATGAAAACGCATTCCAAGGGCCCAGCGACGATGTCTAAGAGAGTGACCTTCTAAGAGAGGATCGAAGTAAAAACACATCGACTCGAAAGGCCACTGGACAGCAACAGTTCTAGAACATTGAATGTTCTTGATATCGCCACCTCTTTTTTGGTGCTAAAAGCTTCCAAGGACCTTGTTATTCCATGTTCCTCCTGAAAAAACACACATTTTGTTTTGTGCGTTTAAAAAGAGTGAGGGGGACTGTGAGAGTGCAGTCTTCTTGACTTCATTTGTTGCTCAAAGTTTGAACTCTTCACTGACTGGACTGTAAAAATGCTTTTGTTTTGACTCAAGGGCAGCTAGTGCAAAATTCTAGTTTTATTTCAGTTTATACATGCATATTTATATTTAATTCTCTATATTTTGAATCTATTTTATTCCATTGTAATTGTCAGTTATTTTCTACTTGATTTCAACTTAAGCCTTATACAATTTAAGTTTAATTGTTTCGCAATTCTATTCTAATTCTATATGGATTCGAATGTAGTTCTGATTTACTATTAATTTAATTCTAACTTGATTCTAAGTTAACTGCTTTATTCCAATTCAAGTATTTTATATTCTAAAGATTTATTTTAAGTTTTAAACCTATCAATTCAAAGCAACACCGCCTCTCTAGAATTAAATCAGTCTTCTTTAAGAATTAAGTTGGAATTTGCATTGAATCAGAATTCAATTAGAATTGAGTTAGAGTTCAATTTGCATTGAACTGGACATAAATCAGAATTAAGTCGGAATTAACATAATAAGAACTGAGTTGAAGTAGTTAAAGTATATATAGATTAAAACTACAGTGCAATTGAATTGGCTTAAGCATAGAATTGTTTTGGAATTAAATTGCAAAAGTAGCGTTAGATTGGAATTAACTTAAGGTTGAATTAGAACTAGCTTATTTAAATTAGAATTACATTAGAGTAAACGTGTGATTAGGATCTATTTTAAACTAAAATTAAACCTACGCTTAGAATTCAATTATTTTGAATCGTTTAGACTCAAATTTGAATTACTTTCGATTTTAATGCAAATCAAGGTAAATTAAATTTCAGGCAGATGTCCTTAATGCAGAAACCAAGAAAAACTCACTCTCATGGTCCCCTGTTCTGTTTACAAACGAATGCTTTCAGCTGACTGACCACTTAGTGACGAAGCCGTGGCAGGCATAATGGGGCCGTTCGAGGCGGAGGAGCATCGGTGAACACAAAACCCAAGATGACTTTTAGTAGCTTCTTGTTACTACTAGCGTGGCACTTGTTACTAATAGCTTCTTGTTACTACTAGTAAAGCACTTGTTACTAGAAGCGATGCACTTGTTCCTAGTAGCTTCTTGCTCCTCGTAGTACGGCCAGGAGCCCCGTTCGTAGCGTTCTTGTTCCTAGTAGCGATGCCCTTTGCTCCTAGTAGCTTCTTGCTCCTAGATGGGGGTCCATATAAACCACTGAGCTTGGGGGATTGGGCCATCCACTGTCAATCCACTATATGTTGTTTGATGTTGTTTGTTCACTTGCCGCTGCCGGCTGATTTTCCAGTTCTTTGAGTCAGCCACTTTGGCCGGTCGCGCCCAAGGTCGGTCGCCTGGTGCGAAGCCTCAGGGTCTATGTGTTCCTCTCTACCAGCACCCAGACACCACCTGAGGCCACGACCGACATAAATCAGTCTCCAAAAGCCACCAGTTTCGGAGACCTGCCACGAGTCGGGTGCTGGTATGTCAGACTCTATCCTCGGGGACTTGGACGGGTGCCGCTGGTCACGACCTTCGTCTCAGAAGACGCAGGACCTTCGTCTCCGCCACGGGGATGGCATGCTCATGCAGGCGCCCTTGGGAGCGTGACCTGCCTGGCCAGTTGACCGGGCGACTCGGCTTCCCCCCAAACCGAGGGAACAAATCAGCTTTCCTTTTTGAGTCCACCCAATTCGTATCCTTTCGTATCCAATAAAGTCAGAATACCTTTTGGGGTGACCCAGAAAGATCCCATCAGGAACCTTCCTATAGGCTGACTGGGTGTGAACACCGTCTCGTCAGCATGGTGTTCAGCTGATCAACACTCATAGCTCAGGAATATTGGCTTTTTGTTTTGCCAGTCGCAGCACACATTACTTTACTTTCGACAGTTGTTTCAAGCTCTGCGAAGCAAGTGCCCAGCACACTTTTTTGTCGCATCGTGCCATGGAATAGAGCGCCGTGAATGTCTCGCCAACCTCTCGTCGAGGACTGGGCTCGACATAGTCCAAGTCTCCAAACCCAAGTATAACCGATCCTCCTGCCCTGCCATCATGCCATCCCCAAAAGTATCCCAAATCGATCATCGTTTGGGTTTGCCGGCACTTCTGAATCACATGACGTGTATTGGATAATTTTGGTGAATGAAGGCACTTCTGAATCACATGAGTTACATGAACTGCAAGATCTGTCAATTGCGATCCGCCTGCCGCCTGACCTCCCAGCTCCAGGGGACATGCAACCTTTGGGTCTTGGTCGCTGTGGTTTCCGGGTCAAACTCTTTGTTTTGGGCATGTAAACATCATCCAGAGAGGGTTAGCAGAATGATCATGGTCCTGACATGGTCCTGACAGGGTCCTGACGGGGTCCTGACGGGGTCCTGAGGTTCATTCATGGTGACCCAACACAGGAAACCGCGGGTTGTCCAGTCTTGCGGGTTTTCACTGAAGGACTTTTTGGGCGCCGGTGGCAGGCCTTGTCTTATGCCTTGGATAGACAGCGATTGAAGGCAGTGCTCGCGCTGGCTGAGGAGCCCGGCGGAGCCCGTCAACCTTCCTGGGCAGCCTTTGGGCTGGCTATATACACAAACACAAACACACACACACACACACACTCTTACAGTTCGAACACCCATCCTGGGCAAACTAGAAACTGCTGATTTTCAAGAAGGGACCGCAACCACCGGTGGCTCACATTCCCTTGAAGCAAGCCCAGCTGGCTGGGCAAGCGTCGTCTCGGCGTCAGCCTTTGGGCTCGAAGAAACCGCAGCGGTACTCCGAAGTTGCTTCCTTGGCCACCTAGGCAGATCCGGGGTGTGCTGGGTCGGCGGACACAAAGAGAAGATCGCTGGGAACAAATTGTCCAACGTGGTACACGTTGTGTCCTGTCAAATCGAACCCAGGAGAATGGACGCTGCAAACAATATGGTGGGATCATCGATCATGAGGCCTCAGGTACTGTAGCCCACACCGGGGCGGAGGACTCCCCCAAGGAACCTCTCAGTGGGTGGGTTCTAGTGCGAAGTGCTTCAAGTGACTGATTTTTGTTGTAATGAGTTTCTCATCGAATGATGCCAGTGCAGGTCGTGTCAGAGATGCTAAAGTCCTTCCTTTTGCTCTCGTCTGAATCTCAGTCCGATGTGAGTGAGTGCCGGGCTGGCCATGCTTCACCATACTGATTCTATGGGATTACATCACATCGAATACATTTTTGTTGCCGTCGCACTCCTTCCCCCAGTTCAATATACTTGGAAGATCAAGATCACATACTCAGCATACTATGCTCTTCCCTGAGGTAGGGCTCGGCCCAAACCATTCTTACGTCCAAAGGTCCAGAACTTTTCTTCGTATCCTTGATGATCCACCAACCCTCTCAGCCATTGGCACACTGTGCCCCAGCAACACTCAAACCAAGAGAAAGAGTAGAAAGACACTTCTGAACATCTACATACCTCTACCATCAAACCATTCTACATACCATCAAACCTTTTCTGTTCATTTGCCACCGACACCGTCTCTGGAGGCGACCCACCGTCTCCACCGTCTCCCGCCGCGAACCACGGTGGCAGGTGCATCCTGACGGTGGCAGAAGCCTCCACCGATGCTCCGCCGGGAGTCTCAGGGAGCGATGGAGCGCTCAGTGGACGGGACATCTAGATTCAAGAAAGGAACAGGAACGGAGTAATCCATAACAGGATCCTGAGTATAACATAAAGATCCCCTAGTCATCCCTAGTCCATTGGTTTTTTTGGGTCCCTGGTCCTTCCGCTGGCCTCCTGGTCCATTAGGTCAAAAGGCGCGAGGTCTGCGAAATTCAACATTTTTGCGAATTGGGCGTGGCCTCTGCAAAACAAAAAACGACCCGGTTGTCTTGGTCCTTGTGTCACTTTCTGGGTGCCCTTCATTGATGGGGCAATAGGGTGTATAGTTTTCGATGATGATCTATTTTGTGGTGCTTTCTGAGTCTGTTGGGGGGAGGCACCGCACCCCCCTAACCCCTCCAGCGCCATGAAATCTGCACTACTTTTGCCAATGAACTGTGCCTGCCACAACAGAATTTTTCAAGGTGACCCATCGCATCTCCATTGATCTTTTTCTTTTCCTTTTTCCGCTATATCTCTGTCGAATAGGCTTTTAATTGAGGCTTACCTGTCGGCGTCTCATTCTCGATTACTTTGGCACTAGGTCCGTGCGTGCCATCAAAGGGAGCGTCCAACAGTTCGCTTTGCTTGGTCCTGCTTTCGAGGAGCAGGCCATTGATGGGTGACCGCACACACCTCCGTCGTGCACCGTTGTCTGAACGAATCCGACACGGAGCCTGCGAGAAAAAGAGCGTTGAAAAAGATTGTTTTCTGATCCATCACCCGTGGTGCGAAGCCGGGTTAGGTTTCAATTGTGGTATGTGTCATGTGTATCTCGTACATTTCAATACGCACATTTTTTTCAGCGGTGGCTTGTTTTTGCCTACGATGCTAACCGGGGCCCCGCGCGAAGCGACCGCGTTTAGGGCTTTACAAAAATTTTGCATGTTAGGGCATATACGCGTGGCCTCCGGATTAGCGTCGCAGGCATGGACTCCGTGTTCGTGGGGTGGGGGGTTGGGGTGGGGCACCATGTGCACACCTTCACGCAGCCGTGTGCACATGCACGCGCTACCGACAAAGTTCCTTGTGTCTCGTTCTCTTGTTGCGCTTGGGCCACTACTTTTCCGCTTTTGAGGACCACCCTGTGTTGAATATTTTTTGTAATCAATCATTGGGTTTTGATGTGGCCAGATGGATGATTGACACAGGCCTGGGTCTCCAAAAACATAAACTCCTTGAAGCCTCTTGTCCAAGCGTGGCTTGACAAACATACAGGGGAGAAAGCACCTGAAGACATTCAGTTACACATTTGTGTGGCTGGCGCATTGAAGTGTGGACAGGCTGCCAATAACTGCATGATTCTGTGGGATGGCAACAGAGCTTGGAAGCGCATGTGTCTCCTGAACAACCTTCCCTTTGCGGAGGTGAGTCATAGTAAACATGAGTTACTAAAGACCTGAGAGATCAAAAGAAAAAGTTTGCCCACCAGGCATCCGTTGCGGGAACGCAAACTTTAGACATCTGGAAACTCATGAAGCAGTCTATGCCCAGGGCTTTGCATGCCCGTGAGACCGAAGCGGATGCCAAAGTGGTGTCACAGAGGCTGTGGAGCTATGCTTACAGCTTTCAGTTTCGATGGAACGTGCAGAGAGATCTCTGGAAGTAGGTCGCCCAGTTGCTCCGCTGAAGAATGAAGTGTCGCTTTTGCCGAGCCCTTTGTCCAAATGCACTGCTTCTCCCCAGTGACACTGGCAACCCATGTGTTTTTTATACTGGCCCTGCTCGTACAAAACCAGCGTGACCGTCGACCTCTTAAAAATCCATTGCAAAGCCATAAAAACCAGCCTTCTTCAACCATTTCAACTTGATTGATGTCTTGCAATGAAATGCTAATTTTGTGCGGGGTCCCGGTTGGCGTCGATGCTTTGGTTTTTGTTTATTTTTAGAGTTTCTAGAGGTTTCAGGTTTTTGCTTGCTACAGCTGCATAGCTATAAGTTCGATTCGTTGGACGTTCAACACGAAAGGTAGCTTGAGCTACCTGAGTTCTCCTTGCTTTAGCAAAAATGTATTACAATCAGGAGTTGGGATTGTGCATTGAGTTTGGTCCTGTAAGAGTTGATTCTGTTCGTGGGGGGGGGGCCCTCCCCCCTGTGGATCAAACCCCCCCTGCGCCGGTTCACGCCGTCATGGACTTTTACCAGGGTTGCTTGTGATTGCCTGCTACCTTTCGTTCACCCCCTCCTCTCTCAAGTTTTGATCCACTGGTGCTCGTTTGCGACGGGCTCGAAAACCAAGGCCGGGTAATTATGAGATATCATTCGCGGGGAACTCGTACACTTTGGTCAATACAGTTTTGCCCGATTTCATTCCAGAGTTCGACACGTGGGTTTTCCAAGGACAGGATTGGACACGTCCGGCACATATGGGTTTTTGAGAGTGGTAGAGTGTGATTTGAACAAGAAAACATCGCAGAATCTCTGGTTCAGTGTTGAGCCCGGAGAAGGAGATGTGGATACATATTTTTGATCGGCGTCGCCGCATTTTCCAACAAGTGTCCATGGGTTTCTTCTTTCTACGAGGGCATTTCAAGTGGTTTCCTATGGAGACACAATCCCCACCAAACGTGACTTCTACTCTTACCAACTTTGGAGGAAGAACTGTCAACAAGAGTACCACGCATGACTCTCTCAGTTCTCCCTATCGGTCGCCAACGCATGAATTCATCATCAATCCCAGTTTCCATCAAACTCGGACCTTTCGCAACCAACAGGTCCCAAAAGGCTTAGCCTTTTGCATTTCACCCTTGGAGAGGAAGCACCTTTGCTCCCTTCGTCTTCCGCTGAACGTTCCGGCCTCGTCGTTGGGCGGTCGCAGGTGGCTTGTGGGGACGGGCATCGCTGATTGCACGGGACCGGCGGCAGAGGTGGTGCCTTGGACAGTGGAAGAGGTCTGAAGTTTCAATAATTGCTATTAGGTTGGAGGCTATTGTTCTTAGGTTGGAGGCGATTGCTTCCAGATGTTTTGCATGAATTTTCATTCAAAAGGGATCAACAAGGGTAGAGGAACTCAAAGATTAGAGATCTCCAGTCGAGGGCCCATGGTAGATCGAGTTATAATGATGTTTGATGAGTTTGGGTGCAAACAATGCTAACACGTGGTTACTACACACTAGACACAGAAACTGAGCAAGCTTGTCGCCAAACCACTTGTCTTCAAGGCAAGTTCTTTTTCCTTGACGAGACAACCTGCGGTTGACCTCCCGTCAACCAGTGGGTTTTCTCCAAACTCCTTCTAAGACGAACCCATGTGAGCGACTATTATAAAACACCCACCAACACATTTTGTCTTTGCATGTCCGGTTTGCCGGAAGAATGCGCCATCCACTGTAAAACCATAAGAAGAAAAACGTGATTTCTTCAATTGTTTCTCATCTGACCGGCCGTTTTTTGGTGCTTAACAGTTCAAGCATGTTCAAGCACCAACATGGGGGGCGGCCCTGAAAGCGTTCACGGTCGACGCTGGGGCAACAGATCTTATGACCAGTGCGGCCCAGCGGACCATGGCCCCATATGGTCAGAATGTGGGGTGGGGGGGTTTTGCTCAACCACCAGGCATGGCAGTTGGCCAGAAGTACTTATGAACATACAAAGACATACACGAACCACGAAACCCAACAGATCAGCATGAAATTCAGAAGTTCCTCATGGGCCAGAACCGCAGGTTCCCACGTGATGCCCCGCAAAACATCCCCCGCCCAGACCAGACCTTTTCTGTTCCTTTTTAAACATATTCTTTTTGATTGCTCCATGGGTACTAAGCGAGCTTGGGCAATGCCGTAGGTTTTTCAGCAAGATTTCACCATCTACTTTTACAGTCCTTTGCTTGTACCCTTTCCGGTTGGCTGTTCTTCTCTCACCTTGTTTTCCGTTCACAATGCTTTTGTATGTTTTTGTCGGTTTGTCTCAAACTCCCCCAACCACACAAAACGGTTGGTCACAGTCATCCTATGTTCTAGTATAAGGTGCCATACGCAGTCACAGACATGGTCGTTTTTGAGGGTCGAGACACTTTCATTCTCCAAGTAACCGAGTGCTTTCTCGAGCGCCGCGAAGAGCCGAGACGTCTCTGGGACGTTTGAAGGACTGGGAGGGGGCGCTTAGGCGCCGCGAGAGCCCGCGAAGCGCCACGCCCAGCCGAAGCGAGGTGATGATGGGTTATGGCGACTCCGAGCACAAGACGGCGGGCATCCACATGCGCCACCTAACCGCCGTTTTTTTTTTTTTTTCGGGGATGGGCGTTCGTTCGCGTGGAAGCGCGCTTGCGCAAGCAAGAAGAAGTGGGTAACGTGATAGCAATATGGCAATAAGAGTCATGCAGCATGCAGTGACAACATGAAACACGATTTAATCTCAAGCTGAGCTTAACCCCAGTAGCCTTTTACAAGCCAAGCACCTTTTTGTCGAAGGTCAGTTCAACTGCCGTTCCTGTTTGGCAACATCCATTCCTGACATAGGGCAGGCACAGACTCAGACTACAAATTGACTGTTCACAAACGAATGATGTCTCTTATTCTTGCCTCTTCCTGTTCCACCCCTCCTCGCAGCTGCAGCTGAGTGACTCTTTCTGCACCCATTGCGGTCGATCCTTCTGAACTGTTCTGTTCTTTCTGGCGACAAACACATCACAGACACAATACGTGGGCTGAACAAACACCCGACATTGTCAGATCTAGATCGCTTCAGCGATCTTCCAACTCTTTGGGGTCGAACACTCAGAGAAATGTCCAACCAAACCGGTGACGCTCTAGGTCCCTTCGCTACGAAGATCGGATCGACTTGGTTTCTCTGGACACCGGTCGGGACCCGGAGCGGACCGAACCGTCTCGATGGTTCGTCCAAGGCCTCTACGCGCGTGCCTTCATCTTCGTGGATCCGGCGAGCCATGACCGCGTGGCCTTTGCGGCTTGGTTCGGAGGCGGCGAACCCCGAGCGACTGAAGCGGCGGATCATCATGTCGAACGCAGGTGGGGTGGGGTGGGTAAGATACCATGAGACTTGATCCTGACATGTTCTTGATTCCATATTCATACACAAATATCCCGATCAGGGAAAGGCAAGGGCCGTTGGGTGGCGTAGCGTTGGTGGGGGGAAAGACTTGGGGTATAGCGATATACTGTATACCATATACCTTTTTGAAGAATGGGAGCAGAGGTGAGAGTCTTGGACCCTTTCTTTTGTTCCACAGAAAAGGTTCTGCAGCTCACGAAGCACATTTGAAGCGCAAAGTCCAGAAGCGGTCTCTGAGACCTTCTTTGGAGTCCATGAAGCTCAATGAACCTGTCATTTTTCTTTAATAGACCTTTAGACCCTTTTTCTATTTAGACCGTTCTTTAATTTTTTAGAGAATTGGGAGGGACTTCTTCGAGGCCTTTCTTCTTTGCTGCTTGTGACACTTGTGCTTCTTGGGATCATTCCTGCGTCAGCAGGCCCCAGAAAGGCCCGCCCTTCTTTTAACAAAACTCCACCCAAGTTGGCTTTCTGTCACCTCTCTGAATCCACGGTCGAACACGGAATACCTTTGAATACCGGTTTCCATGCAACCAAACCACCAAGAGCTCAGACCTGTGCCGCACGGACGCGTGACGCCGGTTTCCACTCCCACTCCCCTTTTCTTCCGAGCGCCGTTCGATCGATGTTCACCCCGAGGTGAACGTGGACACCTGGGCAGCGACGGAGGCCGTGATCCAGGGCGTGGAGCGCAAGTTGCACGCGTGGTTCCAAGGCGTGCAGGGGCCCCGACGCGGGGTGGAAGGGGCGTTTCCTTTCAATTGGAATCTCGTCCAGGAGATTCATTTGTTTCCTTTTTTTCACACAGACTTGGTTGTAGTTGTCATATATCGTCATGACTTTATCACTGCCAAAGACCTTCATGGGTTCAAGAGGCAGTGATGTTCTTTTGGGATTATGTTCGATCACGCAAATGCTGAAGGCAACAAAGAATCGATGAATGCGCTTTCCCAAAGCCTTGCATACAGGGGGTGTCAAATGTGAACTATTTGCAATGGTCATCAATCGTTTTGCGAGCATGAAGCTCAGGCATATATGCACCTGGCACCGGGCTTGCATTGGGATTCGCCGTTTTTATGTCCAGTCATCATGAAGTCTCGATGTTTAAGCAGACATTGTTTGAACAGCGTCTATAAGATGTATAGTTATATATTCAACCGAGAGTTGTGATCCAATAGTTGCAAGTGGCTGTTCGTCGCCCTGCAGGCCAACACTATAGCCGCGAGAACCTCATTGTTGCTGGCAGTCATACGCTCCTTGTCGGAGCTGGAGACAAGTCGGTAGTCCGTTGATGCTTGTGACTATAAAAACAAGGCTTGCACCGTAAGCGTGGACGCACTGTCCACACAAATCTAGCTTGTTAGATCCAGCCCTCTCCTGTATTGGCAGAACGCAATCACGGTGTCCACCAGGTAGTTGATATTAGATGATACAAAATATTAGTTGATATGGATGTAGAAAGAAGCATAAAAAAGCGATGGACATTTACAATTTGCCTTGTCCTTTGCGAATGGATGGGTCACTCTTTGTTGGTTCCCCACTGCCAATGGCTTTGGATAATATGTAGCAATACAACAACCCCATGTGGATCTCAACTAAGAAGACACTCCCGTGACTCCCGTGTGTATATATATATATATAGCCAGCTGGGTTCACTGGAAACAGTGAATTATTTCAAGCACTGCCTTTTTCACTTGCGTTCTGCCCATTGTTTGTGGAACTTATCTACGTTCATTGACATCTTTACATGAAGTCCGCTGCACAAGACCTTCTGGAAAGGCAAGCAATCTGAGCGCCAGCAAGAGCATCAAAGCTTCAAATTCTCGTATGGAGTCATGCCGTGACTACACTGACGCTCAAACCATTGAGCAAGAAAGTGAAATGGACGGGTGAACCATTCCACATTAAAAACTATTTTACAATAGTTCCAGAACCGCACGACTTCGTCAAAACATCTTCCTGACAAAAATCGAAACAAAAAAAAACTATTGTGTAAAGTATTTTGTCTTTTTTTGTTAAACACTTTAGTGTGCGTAACACGACACGAATGCAAGCATCTTCCCCCCTGAACCCCTTGAGATACGCCTCAAGATTGACGATAAGAGATCAAGCGTGTCCGCAAAAGACGTGACGATCCCTCGGATGAATAGGGCAGTGATCATTTTCGAAATTCCTCGGTGTTCGAAACGACCAAAATGAGCGCGATGAAGACGCGCCCCGTGTCGTGCTACATTGAACATGCCGTCGCAACGCGTTTCGCGACGTGCCTCGCGAAATGCATGGTGTTCTGAGATGATGCATTTTGCACGCCAATATTTTAAATGAACCAATATGCCTCATGTAACCTGTTTTTTTTTGCAACCCTGTCACGTACGCGGTCACGAGCGCCGTCACCGTACGCGCATCGTCCCAGGCACCATGGTCCCGCAGGCGGCTGGATGACGACAGACGATGAGAGGATGAGACAGTGAAAGGTGGGCTAAGTATAGAAGTCTCAGAAAGCAACATGGCCGATGGTCCTTGCACGAACCCCACAAGTAGAGCACAGTCCATTTGTGACCCGTTGGATGGTGCAGGTACCCTGTACATCAATAGAGCACAGTCCGGGCACACTTATGGATCTTATGGCCGTCACCCGAGTGCAGTGCGGACTCGGTTCCTCGGCTCTACCGGCAGACGCGTGTCACTCAAAGAAAGTGTATGCAACCGTGGAACCACTCTCAAAAAGACGCAAGTTTCAAGGTCTGCATGTCTTTTGCCGGCTATATAGAGACTCGACTACTTCTTGATATGCGTTCCAATGCTCATCCCGCATTCTCCTAACACACCTACCTTCGCTCACCACTCACCACACCTTTCAGACCTTCTCAGTGGGTGCACCACGCAAAACCTGGCCACGTGCCACGTGGCGCCAGGCGCCAGCAGTTACATGCTCTTCCAATTCTCCTCAGCGGGACGGGTCCATCAATCCTTGGACGCCTTGGTCGATGGCATCGCGGAGGTTCGGCAAGTCGACAGAAATGACACCGGGGTTGGGGTGTGGGGGTCCAAGAGATGGAACAAAGAGGTTCAGAATCTGGGTGTTGCTGAGACATCCGGCTTGTTTGATGTGGATATATGTGGATCTGTTTAAAAGTAGGGGGCGGAGCCGGGCGGAGGCATTTTGCCGCAAATAAGCGCTATATATGCATTATCACGCATCGTCGTTTGTTATGTTTGGAGAGTCAAATATGATTTTCTTCGGTTCTACCAGCATCACAAACTTGTGGTGTGTGTGGTACCGCAAGGAGATTGTGAATCATCAAGGCATCCCCGATATTCTTGGGAACCACAAATCATTACAGTAATTCATTTTCGCGGCTCTGATTTTTGGATGTTATCCCATGGATTTGAACTGGGCTCATGGACTCCTAGACTCCTACTCCCTTAGCTCGGCAGTCAGCCCCATCTTCAACCGTCTAGGCAGTGTGGTTGGCGCATCACAACATCAAGCCAGCCAATGTGACTTGCTGCAAAGCTGGTTCAGGAGTGCTACTGAAGATGTTTGGATGACATTGGATCTGCCCCAACCCCCAGTGGTCTGCAACAATCAAGACAGCTTTCAATCGAGCGATCCGGAGGTCGGCGGATTGATGACAACTAAGCACCAAGCGCGCCTCTGTGGGTTCCCAGTCACAGATGAATCATTTGTGGGCCCTTTGTCCGCTGCGTTGGGTTTGCAGGATGGATAGGGTTTAGCATGTTTTAGCTGTCTACTCCACGAGGAAAAACCTCCTGCCAGTAAACCAACCAGCCACACTGAGGTCTTTTTCGGCAACGGCATGGTGGACAATAGCACGGTGCCAAACTGCCCCATGCCGAACTGTGCCAACCGCCAGCGCAGCCCCAGCAGCTTCATGCATAACCCTGAGGTGGAACGCGCCTGGGATGCAGTGTAACTGAATCTGACGGAAGGGAACCCGCAATAGCATGCCACTGCTAGCTGCTGGTGTGATGCAATGGCATGCAAGCCTTTCATTGCTCGAAGTGAGCTGCATGTGCGCTACGGACGCATTAAGGCCGCAAGTTCTTTGGGGAGGACAATGCTGCCTGGGGCCTCAGTGCTTGATGTTCTTACATTTGTATGAGAAGGTTCAGCCTTTTAAGGACGCTCCAGAACAGTGGCAGACGGCCACTTTTGTACGATTATAGGAGGTCCAACAGCTTCCGATTTGTAGTTCTTGTAGGTTTGCATTTGTTTCACTCCGACTTCTCTCAACCTTTTTGGTGTTTCTTTTGGTATGTTTTTCAAGCTTTGTAATTTGTGTTTGGTTATTCAGCCTTTAATTGCACCGCTTGTATCTTAAATTCATCCTTTCTCCCAAGTCCTGCCCAGTTTCTTCCTTCCGATGCCATTGTGCTCATAGACTGTACATGACACGCACCCCTAGTCTTTTTCAAAACCAGTATAGTCATCATAATGTGTATTATACACGCACCGTATACACTATCATACAGTTTTATAACTACAGGCCCAGGTGTTTGGTGTGAACATGCGTGAACCTCCTATTTGCGAGAGACTCAGATATTTGTTCAGGATCGCAACATGGACCTCTTGAAGATTGTCAACGCCGAGACAGGCACAGAAGCGCGTGGTGCGCGTGTGCAACAGCGGCCGTGCCAGACACAGGGACCTTCAGGAGAAGCGGCCAGGGTGCTGCTGGGTTGGGTGCTTGGGTGGAGGTGGGGTCCAGACCTGGGGCGACGTCATCCCGTGTGGAGAGGAGTGTCCTCTCTGGAACCTGAAAAGACGCAGAGCCGGCGCCACAAAACACGCTTTGGACGGCATTTGTGGTGTGAGACACATCGTTTGAAACCCAGTCACTCAGTGATCGAAACCAGACTTCTGTCCTTCCAGGCAAACCGATGGGCATGGTGAATTGGTTCGGGGTGCATCCCACCTCGCTCAACAGCGGCTCGGAGCATTTCTGTGGTGGAGCAAATTTGTTGCGTACTATATTGCGGCATATATAGTATATATATACACTATAATATTCAACATGTATATAATATATATATACACACACTAGATACACTATATGTATACTATATATATGTGTATAATAACTAGGACATAAGGATTCACTATAGAAGGACTACACCAGCGATGTTTGGATCGAATCGATATTCATGGATTGTCTTCACGACCAGCAACGTTGGTCGCACCAGCGTGGTCGCAACGTGACGGGGACCCGAAGGGAAGCGCATTAGAGTTCCCACGACGGTGGGAATGGGATGAAGATGGATGAATGGGGTTGAACGGTCCTTCTGAGCTGTGCTGCAAGATGTTTTTCTCATTGCCTTGCCAGCAACAACATTGACCTGCAGTTCGACCGATAGCCTTTACAGGCGTTGCAAAAAATGATTGGCTTCGGGTTGTGCCCGAAGACATGAAATAGATTGAACCTGATGGTTGCCATGTTCAAGATATTGAAGATCCATGAAGATCCCCAGTTATTGGTGTTTTGTACCAAAGTTTGACCAAGGGTATATTGTGGGGCCACGGAGTCTTTGTGGAGACACACTTGGCTCCATCCACCGAGAGCCATCATGACCAGGTGGTTCAGTCGTTGCAGTCGTGTTTCTTCCCGCCGGTGCAGTCGGGAGTGGATGACCAAAAAGGTGGTTCAGTCCTCGCATCCTCGGCACAGGTGATGTGGCAGGTTCCGTCCCAGCATCGGTTCGATGTTGAAGTCGGGGGAGTCCAGTTTGATACCGATCGATGAGGGTTTCGGTGATCGAACCGATCTCCGTCGCACCGACGCGGCCGAGACGAGACGCGGTAAGGTGATTACAACCTGATCTCCGGTGACAACAAAGGCCATTGGAAGAAGCGGTCCGATCAGTGAGACAAGCTGAGCTAGTTCAACTCCGTGAGATGAGATGTCATATACGGTAAAATTTTGTATAATTGTATATATTTATGATGTCTCTCTCTCTATATATTTTTTTTCGCCCAGAGGCCTTGATCGTAGGCAAGCTACTGTAGCACTTCGTTGCAAGATGTACCAACGAGTTTACTGGCGGTTTTGTGCCAGAATAGTGTTGGGTACCTTTGATGGGCACCATCAGTCGCATGAGACATGTTCAACATTGTTTAACGCTTTGGTGTTGTTGCATCGGATTTTGCTCAAGACATCGTTTTCGCATCGGTTTAATGCTGTGGTGAACTCTTGACAGGCTATGCGTCCTATGCCTTTGAGCAAGACATGAATGGACCCAGTTGGGTCCAACGTGCCGGGCGTGGTTTGGAAGCTCAGGATGGTTTTCTGGGGCGGACGCTGGGTTGTGACAGCTGACAGCAGATGTCATGCCACTTTGGTTGGATGAAGGAGCTGCGGATGTCAGCGGCAAATGACGGACCTTCCATGTTCGATCTGTCTTTTGGCCCATAGAAATGAATTCATCCACGTCCCAAGAATGCAAGTGTTTTACATCTAAAGAATGCATTCCTGTCGGGTGGGTCTCATCTTTGGAAAGTGGGCCTTCAATACCTGCCGATATGCCGATGTGTCAGTTCCGGCGCCATGTTCGGCGCCAAGTGTGGAGCTTTAGGACTTGGAGGTTGGTTGGTTGGCTGCACAGCACCGGCCCTGTGAAGACAGCCCGCTTGGGCTTCACACCCCCCAAACAGACAGCGAAAAGCGAAGGAAGCATCTCAGTCGCAGATGAAATATCCGACACAAATACAAGAGATCTGTAAGGGGTGGTTCATGGACACCTCGAATCATCTCTAAAGAGCCTTTGACAAGAGTCACAAGAGGCTTCATCCCAACCTTGGCATGGGGGCATGTGAAGCTTACCAATTCACTCTCCTTTGGCCCAAATGGCCCAAAGCCATATCTTCTCCTCTTCCAGTGTCACGGGTGGCTTCTCAGGCCCGTTTGTGGCGGCCTTTGCACAAGGCGTCTCCGGGGCTTCTCGGCGCTCGAAAATGTGGATCCGCCTGGAGAGGGTAGCAAGGCGACACAATTTTCCATTGCCTAGAGTGACACTAGCACTATATAACTATAAGTATAAACTAAAAATACATAACTATACTACATTATAATACATATATTATTGCATTCTATAAATCATATTGTTATATTTTGTTACTGTAAATTGTAGAAACATTTATCCCGTCTGAACATGAGAGCTGTTTCTTTCGGTGCTGTACTACTTCTTCCGCAGCCCCAAGGGTTGGAACTTGTTGCATTGGCCAAATGAGGAGGGTAGATGAACTGCGAAGTTTCGCTCTTGACTTACACTAGAATGTTGTTGAGAACCCAATCCGCAGACAGAGCATCCATGCTTTGAGAGGGTACTTTTCTTGGATATCAACAAGACACTGATAATGGCCCTGTGAGGAATTTATTCTATTTTCGCCTGCTGAACAGAGTCTGTTTCCGTTGACACAACTACCCTTTTGGCTATTTATTTGTGGGAATGGGAATGACGTTTTGGCTGACCACAAAGCACCCTGGTCTGATTAGCTTGAGCTACGGCCACTCAGAATTGCCAAGACCAGCAAAGGATTCCAAGGGAAAAAGACTCTTGATGCAGCTATATCAGTCATACACCAAGTATGGCACTCCAGAGGTGCCTTTGGCGGTCGGCGGCCCGTGGTCGGTGCTCGACGGCACCGGTGGCAAGGATATCTCCCCGAACTTGCTGGGTGCTTGGTGCACCAACTCGGGAGAGAAGTGCGACAACCAGTGGTCTGCCGCCAGACTGAGGAAGGTGAGATGGCAGGTGTGGAGAACCAGAGAATGAACCCCAAAAGCTAGAAGCTTGAAACACTGTAACATAAACCAGCGGTGGGTCAAAGAGTGGCTGGCCGCCAGACATTTAGAGCTCCTCAGCGCAAACCAGAATAACCTTTCAGAGACCCGCAGATGAGGACGTCTTTGCAAATTGTGCAGTCCTTTTTTACCGTGAGACGAGCATTTTTCAGGTGGGGTTCTAGTGGAGTCTAGATTGAATGAGAAGGTTCTAAGAAGAGGTCTATGGAAGATCTTATTATATGTATTTGAAAGGATGTGGCTCAAAAGAAAAGTCCTTCAGACGGCCCTAACCGGTTCGGATGTCCAGTCTTCCAAGCTGAGCAATTGGATTTTCATGCTCTTGGTGTTCGCCACACCTCTTCATGGAGACGCATGAAAACTCTCTGACTGTAGACACATGACATGAGTACCCGACAGAATTACTGTGAGTCAGCAGTTGTCTTCGGCTGGACAATGTTTTTTTAATTAGCCCAGCTGAAGACCCCAATAGCAAGATACAAACCGGAACAAAAAAAAAGCTAGAAACAGCTGCTGTTTTCAACACATCGACCATCTCTTCCTTGGACACCATCATCACAGAACCGGGACACCATCACAAAATGACCAGGGCACCATCAAAACATGACCGAGACACCGTCACAACATGACTGGGACACAATCAAAACATGATCGGGACACCATCACAACATGACCGCGCCACCATCACATGATCGGGACACCATCAAAACATGACCGGGACACCGTCACAACACGACCGGGACACCATCAAAACATGACCGGGACACCATCACAACATGACCGCGCCACCATCACATGATCGGGACACCATCAAAACATGACCGGGACACCATCACAACATGACCGGGACACCATCAAAACATGATCGGGACACCATCAAAACATGACCGGGACACCATCAAAACAGGACCGG